TCATCCTGTGGACCACGTGTGTTGCACTTGGCAAAAAGAGCTTGGTGGCTACGTGAGGACACACTAGGGACAAGTAAGGTGACAGTTCAGGTTGCCTCATTCTTTGGACTTATCCATGGGAGGAATCCTAAGTAGTTTGTGGCTGGTTATCCAAGCAGTGGATTTTCCTCCATATGGTGTAAGAAATAGCCTGCAGTTGCAGTGAGAGAGCTAGCACTGCTCAAATCCAGGAACCAGAAGACAAGCTGTAATTACTGTGCTGGTCTGTCCAGAAATTATGATGTTCACGTCAGGAGCCAGTAGTCAAAATAATCCTAAAAGGTTTTAAAGGAAAAAATTTAGGAGTGAAAAAACCCCATCTGAAATGATTGTGCTTTATCAGGAGAATAAGGACCTCACTGATCAGTCAGGTTGAAAAAAATAGGAATCAAGGAAAAATGTCACTAAAGTTTGGCCTCTTAATAAGCTGCTGTTGTCATAGCCCACTTTGGACATAACACTCATTTGTTGACATTTTTAGTGCTTTCTGTGGATTACCAGCACATGACCAGGCTCTGAAAGCTCGTTAAGCCTCCACGTGCTCAGCCTGGCTCTGGCTGCAGTGCTGGCTCAGTGCGATCCCTGCTGCTGGCACCAGCTCTGGGGGCCTGAACCTTGCAGTGCTGGGCATTGTGCTCCTGGCTCAGCTTTCTATGGACTTACTCAAGTGCGTGTGACAAGCTCAGGGCACGTTTGTCAGCGTCCAATTATCTATTTGTAACTTTTTTCAGAGGAGCCTGCTAGGCTCGTGCTTTGGTTTTGTTTTTCCTCAGGGTCCTGCAGTATCTTCCTGTAACTGGTGGGGGGATGCTTCAGCCTGGCTTCCCGATCTGGCTGGCATTTCCATTCCTCATTAGCAAAGGAGTCTATGCAGCAGCCCTTTCAAACTGCACAACACTTTTATCCCTATATCCTGGTCCCCTATAGTGAATGAAAAGTTCTTTTTTTATTATTATTTTTGTTCTGGTTTGGGTTTTTGTCTGGTTTTTGTTTGGTTTTTTTATATCTCAATCTTAGACCCATTTGGGTAAAATCTTTTCCATCAGCTTCCATCCAGATGGAAATTAAAATGTTAACTTTTGAAAATTCTTCCCTTATTCACAGACCTTGCAGCCGTGCAGTGCTACTTTAATTTTGAACTAGTCTTGTAGACTCCTGTAAGTATGAGGTGAAGTCATGGATAGTATATCTGTCTCTCTGTTCCTTTCATTTAGAGAAAAATAACAACTTTTGTATTGTATTTTGCTTTGTTGTTGTTGTTGGTTTTCCTTTCCAGTCTTTGGCAGTTGCAATTCTGTGGCCCAGAAATGAAACAAAGTGATTTTCCTTTCACAACAAAATGCTACTTGCGTTGCATCCCACAGAAGTGTTTCAGCGTAAATGGAGCACACACGTGCAGTTTTATCCTATCTTATTTTTAAATGGCTATCTGTGCATACCTCTGGTTTACAATCCTATTCCAAAAATACCCAGGGTCTATCCTTATCATATTGCCCAGCTAATGGTAAGAAATAAGCTCAAGTGGATCAGTGAGGATTAGATTCGCCTCTTATGCAACAGGGTACAAGAGAGAGAAGGCACAGAACTGCCATGGGAAGAGCTCTGTCCTCTATGGGCCATGGAATACTTTGGCAATACCCCTTGTGTATGCTGAGAGTACCCGTCTGCTTCCCACTGACTTCACTGGAAGAAAATGCTGTGCTGGAAAAGCATTCCTTTGTTTACAAAGCCCAGGATAAATAAGGTCCAGAATTTTCTGATACGTATCTGAAATCACTCCAAGGTTCTGTGACCTTTTTTTTTTTTTTTTTTTTTTTTCATTCCTTTTCAGTTTACCAACTCTGGCATACTTTGTAAAAAGGACAAGCGTCTACACTTCTTTCTTCTAAATGTGGTTGAACAGACCCTGTAGGAATAGCAGCCTCACCACCTCCACAGAGGGACGTTTTTCCAGTTTATGGGATTTTCTGCCATTTTTACAAGGTTCATGAAGCCTTCTGCTGTTCCCACCAGTTGTTTTTACCTCAGCACATGGTTCTTCCCTTTCTCCACCTTTCCCTCGTTTCTGCCCATATCCCAAAAAGCCAAATACCTTCCCTTTACCAGACCTGCAGATCAGGTTAAATGGATGTCTTCTCAGACACCATATGGCTGTTCTCGTGCCCTGAGTTGTCCTCCTCCTCCTCAGTTGTCCCCATTCACCTTTGTGTGCCAGGTTCTTGCACCAGCAAATGTTTTGATCATTTACTGACAACACAGAGTTCAGGTATTTTGATAAACAGCTGAATCTCAGCCCACAGTGAGGCATTTGGATTCCACATGTTGGCTTGGGAGTCTTCAGTCAAAGATACAACCCGGTGCAAAAACTTTTCTAGGTCTCCTCATGGCTATAGTGGCACCACGTGATTTAAATTAGTTGCTTATTCATTGTGTTTAGCAGTTGAGGAAAAAAAATGAGCCTATTTTCTAGATATTTTGTGTAATTTGGGGAATTCAAAAAAAGGATTTGTAGGATCAATATATGCTTGTTTTCCTGCTCCCACCACAGGCTGAACCCTTGCTAGGTCAATAGGGAGCTGGAGGGAGTTCCTATGTGGAATCATCTGATGTGGCTCTGCAAGCAGCTCCTAGGTTGGGCTTCAGGAGAGAATCTTAGCAATCTTTAGCAAGTCTAAAATTACTGCCTGCTGTTCTTCAGCAGGTTGCATGCTGTTGAGCTTTACAGTACTCTTCCTTGGCAGGCATTATGCCTATTTTTTTTTTAGCTAGATAAACCAGGACATTTGTCCAAAGTAATTCACAGACAGCTGGAAGAACAGTAGTCCAAGATGGGCAGTCCTTCTCTAGAATCCACATTAAGATTTTCTGCAAAACCCTGGGCATTCGTAGTGCTTGAGTACACTGTAGGGTCTGGGCAGAATGAAGCAGCAAACTCCCTTTCGTGAACAGGGAAAGATTCATTCACAGGTGAGACAGATTATATTGGCTGTTCTGAGCCCTGTTTTTCTGTGGAAGTGACGTGAGAGCCTTCTGCCAGCTCTGCACAGAGTGACTGATCCCCAGAGCATCATGTCCTTGGTAAAGACTTACCTGCTCAAAACCTAACCTACAATGCAGCAAATACCAGCCTTGAGTAGCCATCCCTTCAGTTTCCACATCCCCACCACCCCTCAACGTGATCAAATGCCAAAGATTTGTTCTGATGTTAAAACCCAGCTGTGATCTTCAAAATCTTTTTCACTCATACCTGTAAGCAAGAAAACAATGACACAGATCCAAAAGTGCATCTTAAAGGGCTCTGAATATCCAAAGATAAAATAAAGGGTGGGTTAGATTTCTTATAACTCTTTTTTATATTTTTTTTTTTCAACTATTCAGTGTTGCTCTTCATGATTTTTTTTTATCCTTTGCAGAGCTTTACAGCCTCCCTGCATAACCGCCCCTGCTCCCCTCGCCGCGCTGATCTTTTCCTCGGTGGGTAATGGATTTGCTTTGATTGCTTGACACGGGGACAATAGGGGGACAAACAATCGCCCTGGCGCCCGTGCAGTTCCCCATCTGTTGGGTGCGTGCTCCTTCGGAGGGAGCCAGGCAGGGACAGATGAACACGCCAGCCCAGCCTGATGTTAATGACATCAGTCACACAAGCAGAACATGTGGCGCAATAAATCAAAGCCTAATTGAACTTTTGCTTGATTATCTCGCCGTCCCGTTTCAAACCCAGCAGCGTTTGCTGGGACAGTGCCCCCAGCCCCACCCTGGCTTTGCTGCAGGAGGCTGCCCTGGGAGGTGACAAGTGATCCCGGCTTCTCCTCACTCGTTACTTGAAACAGCGACACCTTCCACTCAACCAAAATTCTTCCACGTCCGGGAAGTGTATTTGACCAATATTTATTATTTTTGAAGAAGAAACATTACAGGAAGATGTCAGAGACAGCTCCTGTTTGCTGCCACTCTCCATTCGGGAATGCTGGCTGCAGACGTCTGCAGAAGACAGCACTAGTCTTTGTGTTAATTACGACACATGTGCTCGTTATCAAGGCCATTCATTAGACTGATATAATGTAATATAATTATTTACACTTGAAAGTGTTTCAGCTACATTAGTTGCTGGATCCTGCAAGCCAAAAATGTTGAGCTGAAGTGTCCATGGCAGCAGTAAATCAGCAGAAGCTTAGGGGGCTGATTTTCGTAGATGTGGAAAGGAACAGTTTCTGATGGGAGCACTGACGAATGAAAAGCTTTGGCAGGAAGAACCCTTTTATTGAAGTACACAAATACAGCATTAGGCCCCAGAATCATCAAGTCATATAGGAGCTCCCCTATGACCTAGCCACCTGCCCTCCTTCTGCAGCCCCTGGTAGGGGCATGGAGACCTGTTGCACCTCTGACGTGCCTCTCTTTAGTCATCTGCGTTTGAAACTTCACACTGAAGTGACTTGGATTCAGGTACTAGTTTAAGAACTGACAAGGTACAAAACACAGAATGCTTCTCTTAATAAACCTAGAATACACCTCTTCATTATGTGGAAGGAGCAAATTTTTACAGTAAATGCATTAAAATACTAACCCAACTTGTTTTAAAAATCCCTACAGTGCTTCTGTAAATGTTTATTTGCCTATACATTGCCTGGACAGAACAGACTTGAATTATTAGCCACTTATTGTAGAGGATTCTCCAGACTGGTAAAAGGAGATGTAAAATAAAATGCTACGATCTGATTAGGGGCTTAAGGAACAGCTAAATTAAATATTTGCATTAATAGTATTCATAGAAAGGCAGATGGGAGCAGAAAATGTTGCAATGAAGAATATGGAATGAGATGAGATCACAGCATCAGTCTGTCCTTTGTAGATCTGGACAATGATCACAGAGCCAGATTGGATTAGTGAAACCTATTTACCAGAAGTTCAGAGCGGTTGCATGAAGCTGAAAGGCAGTCGGGAGGGAGAGCTGGAAGATGCACCAGATTTACAGCTGCGGCGACGAAAACCTCGAAGTTTTCACCACCGTGATTTCCTCCAAAAGTGAGTACACCAAAGCCCTGACAAGCGCTGCCGCGTTTGTCTTTTAGAGGGGCTGGGGCATTTAGAGGGAAGGGAGGGGATGAATCTCCCAAGCGAGCGGCTCCTCTGCCCTGCCCTGCCCTGCCCTGCCCTGCCCTGCCCAGCCCCGCTCGCACTGCCCGCTGCCCCCTCCTGCGGCTCATCCATCGGGTGCTCCGGGGGGCAAAAGTGGGAGATCTGGAACCAGGGTCGATGCACGACTGTGAGGTAATTAATTGCTCAAGTGACAGCCGCAACTGCGCGGCTATTCTGCGCCGCGGGGAAGGTGATGAAGCTGCGCGAGCAGTTCGCGGCTCGGATGAACTGGGTGAACTGCGTGAATGTTGAGTTTAAGTCTGCTGGCTCGGTAAGTGGAACGTTTCCAAAGCCGTGCCCTGGAAATGAATGCATGATTAACATTAATTGCTTGTAATGAGGAGTAAGAACCGGACAAAGCCCAGCCGGCGTTTGATGGAACAAATTAGTTTAAACTCAATGGCTGCATATTGCAGCAACAAGGAAAAGAAAGCAGGTAAAGGCAGGGAAAACAAATTATGGGGGCAGATGAGATCTTTACTTAGCTGCGTGCATGAGCTCTCAGCTGCTTAATTGCAGAATATAAGTGGAAATGACAAAGTGAACCATCACTGTAATTTGGTTTTGTTGCCCGAAAGCCGGGCTGCGCCTACAAGTCCCTTTTGCAAGCAAATCCAGAAGCATCTTCTGCAATAATTCGTTCTTCCCTTCCTGCTCCGTCTCCCTGCAGAAAACCCAGTTGGCAGGGAGAGCCCTGCAGCCCCACTGCTTGCTCTGCTGCCCTTGTGCTCCCGTGCGAGCGGGTCCCTTCTGGCTCCCTCCGCGATTCACTCTTTTTTCAATGGCTATTGAAGGAGTTGCATGTTTGCTGTGACTTCCTCGCATGCCTCGCCTTTCTTCAGCCCCCACAAGCCATTTGCCCCTCGCTCCAGCAGACAACAACAGGCAGCGGGTTGGACTGTGGATCACACCTACGACACATTGATTCTTAGCGTTACACTCATTTATGTGTTGTTGCTTGTGCACCAGCCTGGCTACCAAAACCCAGCACAACAATACTTGCTTCTGGTAGGGATCTGCAAAAAATGTGCCCCTCACACTGTTCAGCAAAATACATTAAATACCAGAGAGCAAGGAAGATGATTCCTTGCATCACTAAACGTTTCTGCCTGTGAGTGTCCTGCTTGTGAGCAGTGAGTTTAGTCCCCACACCACGGAACTCCAGCAGTAAAGGTGAATGCAGCAGCTTCAAAAACAAGTAACAACATGTTCCTGGGTGGGGGAAAACAAACAAACAAACAGAACACAAATAACCTGCCTTTGTTTGTCTGGTTTTCATCCCACAGTCACCATGTTTTAAAGTACAAAACTCCTGCAGGAGAAGGCAGTAAGGATCCCTGAGGACATCACACCATGCAAAACAGACTGCAATCAGACTGACAGCTTAGCACACTCTCGAGCTCTATACACACAGATAACTTACTTGTGATGAGTTCAGATCTGTCACCTCCCATCTTACTGTCCTGTTTGACTGCAGGCAAAGCACAAGCCACGATTTCATGTTTATCCAGTGGGGTCCTAATGCTCAGGCACTTTTATCCTCACTGTGGTATTGAGGGGTGGCTTTTAGACAGACTCAAGCTGTCTGGGAAGAATGACTTTGTTCCACTGCCAGCTCTGCTTGTACCGGAGCCCTGGAAAGTCCAGCTACTTGTTCTTGCTGCCATCAGAGAAGTTTGGCTGCAGCAACAAGCAGCCTTGGGTGATCTCCAGCTGCTTCCACAGCTTCAAAACTCTTTGCAAACATTAAAACATTGCAGTGATAAGCAGTGCAACTCCTGCCGTTGAATGTGTGCCCAAAATGTAAAGGAAAGCTCACCTGGAGACTATGAGTCAGCTGTCATCCCCTAACAAACTTTTCTGGCTCTTCAAAGCCTTTGGATTATTCAAGAAGCCTAAATAGGAAATCTCCCATTCACGTGTCTTGCCCTCAGGGTCAGCCTTTGGAATTGGAGTTAATTCTCTGAATTTGGCAAGTTTCTGCAGGCCTGTTTCTGTCACTGCTAAATCCTGTAGTCATGGCTCTTGTACCCTAAACACAGGGGAGGGTAATAATTTTAAAGAGCAAAGGGTAAGGCATGATCAGAGGGACAGCTGGGAGTATCACAGTGTCTTTCAGGCCAGTTTCAAGTTAAACTGAAACAACAAGTGTTTAAACAATCTTCACTTTGTCCAAAAACAAACCTCACCCCAAACTGATCATGTCAGTCCAGTGAAAAGCTTGGCTTATGGTCCTGGCATTTTGTGTGCCCAGCAGCTTGGTGATGCTGTTTTGCCTGTGATTTTGGTGCCTTCGTGGGTCTAAGAAATCCAATTGAGAAACAAACTTGAAGGAAAATGTCCCAAGTTAAATAAACGAATGGGTAATTCTGAGGATAGCAAAAGGAATTGGACATCCTGCAGTAAAACTGAAATGATATCACAAAGCAGTTTGAACTTACTGGGGGGAAAAGTGTGTCCAGATAAAATGTTAGTCCTCCCCAAAGTTTATGTCTACAGTAGTTGTGTTGAAAGGTGACTGGATGAGAAGAGAAGCTAATTTCTGTCTGAAACAGTGGGAGATGGGAGGCCAGATCAAAACTTGGGAAGAAGGACAGTTCCTCCTGGAAGCCTATGGAAGAGGTGCAGAAACTTGGGGAAGGTTGTGGTCCTGCCCCCGTGGGTATTTGCATTGTATAGCGAGGACATGTCCTCTGAGGTAACTTTAAAAAGGCTACCACTGAGGCCCTCTTACCTGGCTGTCCACATGAGCATCTGCTTACCGTGTCCTCAAAGTTTCATCCTGACCAGCATATGCATCAGGCAGCACATCTGAGAGCATTGCTTGGGCTTGTCTGCCACCACTGCACCCTGACCATGTTCCTGTTCTTTTTGCAGCATGTAGTCCTGCCCGAAGACGAGCCAAAAGCACACAGCACATCCTGACAAAGACTGTAAGAAAAAAATCTCCCTTTCTCTCCCTGTCTTTATTTTTTCTTCTAAATTCTGGCAGGCTAAACTTAAAAATGCTGTGGATAAATGGGAAGCAGATCTTTCACAGGGCAAAGAAGTGCATTGGTGTCTGGTGCAGGGAGTGAGGCAGGAAACAGCAAGGGGAGTTTCTGTAAAGCTCATTTTTTTTAGAGATGTGCTTTGAAACTTCAAAAAATACCACCTGTCTGTGCAGAGCCAGTCAAAAGGAACATAAGAGCTTATCAACACAGGTCATCTGAGGGAATCACAGACTTAATTCTTATCCATAAAGCCCTAATAGTCATGCCAGAGGGATAGGCAGGACTGACAAGCGTATCATATCAATGCATACATGCCTTAGTCAAGGAGCCAGTACCACATTCCCCAGAGAATCTGGGATAAAACCACCAAGCAATGGATTATAATCTCGACTCAAAAAGATGACTGAGTGACCCACAGGAGGTTGCCTTTCCCTTGATCTCAGCAGCTCTTACCTGTCCTCTGCTCCCTCTGATACACCAGCACAGAGGGAACAGCTGGAGCTTTCCCCACTCCCTGAAGGTGAGGTACACCCCTAAATTCAAATAAGCCAGGCTCCCAACTGGAAGAATCCCTGACTCCATTTTCTACTCCATCTGCCCTTCACAGATGCTGAGAAGAGCTGACAACTTAGTTCTCTCTCAGCAAGTGGTTTGATATGTTTAATCCTGAAGGCAAGGTGTGCACAGCCATGGTTCCCCCTTTCCTCTCACACAGCTGCTGCTGGCACTTGAGCAATTTTCATGGCTCTTGTGCAAAGAAGCCCAACCAAACAACATAGGGTCAACCTGCAGCTAAAGAGCAGAGTGGTGGCTTGCAGCAGGGCATGGTCCTCTCCTCCCCACCCAGCCACATCTGGGCCCATGGGCCCAGCACCCAGCACAGCCATCTCACCTGCAGCACTGTGCTGTCAGGTCTCAGTTTTTTCTCCTCCCTCCCTGTTTTCTCTTCACTATATGAGTAACTCTCATTCCCTGCTGCTCTCGTCAGTAGATCTGAACATATTTTTGTTCCCAATTATTATGACTAGGTAAATAATAATAACAGTAAAAGAAATGAACATTTTTCATGCTCTGAGGAAATGTTTTCCAAGTGTGGACACTTTGACACATTGGTTTGGGTTTGAGGTTTTTTGTCTTCAGAGGCAGTTTTCCCTCCTTAATTCCACTTGGCCCATTCACAGCCCCTTCCATAATCTTTTTATAGCAGTTCTGACTTGCAGGAATGACAGCCTCTTTCTCTTGTGCATGTCAAGGCACTTTTTACAAGCTTTAAGACTCTTCTGCTAAAGCACTTCTCACTACAGGCCTCTCTCTTCTCTAGCATTGACTTGGTTGAAATATTTTGCTCTGGGGCCTTTCCTTTTCCCATGCCCTATCCCACTTCCCAGCCCCATCTTAGTTTGTAAATAGCTTCCTCTTCATATACCCGATTCCCTTATCTCCCGACAGCACTGTAGGTCCCCCCTGCTTACCACACTTACCCATGCAATGGAAAAAACCTCACCACATTCACTCACATCCCCTCCCTTGGTTATTAAAGTGTATCACAGGATCCCAACACTTGACAGAATGCCTGAAGTGGTCCCCAGAAAGTGTCAATTACAAGCCTGTGGTGCTTGAGTAAAAACTATGCATCTGTTTATTTTCTCAGATGGTGAAAATAATTAAGTTCCGTAACTCAGACTGAGGTTTCAAAATGACTCCTTCATTCCAAATGAGGATGCAAGTCAACATGCTAGAGTGTCACTCAAAATAAGCCATTCTGAGATACCCCTTTTTTATTTATCTTTTTGATATATTTTGTTTGCCATGTAGTGCAAAAATAGCCTAAGCCAAAGGTAGACTATTATGACTTAATGAAAGAGAATGATAATGTCTCAATTTTTTACAAAATAGATACTTTTCCAGCAAAAAAATTCCTGATTCCTTCTAACCAGAATTTTCTCATAAAACTATTCAGCTGGAAAATTTTCAGCTAGCTTTTATTGAAATCTAGAGCAACTGTGTATCTGTCACGGTGTTCTCAATCTCAGCAGATAGTTGTTTCTACAGAGTGAGAGCCTCTGGTATTTGTTTTGGTTTGGATCAGCTACTTTAGCAGCACTATACTCATAAAGGTCTAGGAAAACAAGATAAGGAAGTCTCTGGTTTCTTGCTCTATTTTTATAGTTGGGTTTGGTTGTTTTTTTTTCCTTTGGGACTTTCCTGACCCCAATTAAAGACGTCCTTTGATTGGCCTTTAGTCATGCTGCAGGCAGTATCACATTAGCAGTGAGAGCACCAAGCCTAAGGAATGGTGTGCAGCTCCAGCTAAGAAAACAAGCAAGGCTCTCAAGCCAAAGCAATGTGCACAGTCAACTCTTAGACTTGTGCATGCCCCTTCTCCAGTGTGATGCAGCTCCTCACAGCTCAGGCACAACCATTCAAATAAATGGTGCATACTGGAACATACATGCTTGTGAGGAAGCTGTAATTGCCAATTTCCAGACCCACACAGAAGTAGCAGAATGATTATTTCTTTTTCCATTTTACCCCTGCACCTGCAGCCAGTGCTGCAGAAATGCCTCAGCTAACACAAAATCTTCTGCTCTGGTGATGGCAGTGGATGCACAACTTTAATCCTCAGCAAGGGCAGAAATAGCAAGCACTGTGGACATCTGCCAGCCTTTCCTTCATGGCAGAAATACACAAGCAGTGTAGCATTAAGTGATTTAATATTCAAATTACTGGCCGTAGGGGGGTAACTTCCATCACATTCAAGAACCCATCCCAATAGCACAATCATGACTGTGGAAGGGTGAGGGACCTTTCAACGGAGAGCTTCACAAACGTGCTTTTTTGCAGTTCCTATTGCTCTATTAAGAGTTATTTCCAGGGAGAATCCATCCTTCTCTTGCTCTCCCAACATCAATAACCTTTGGCTGGAACTCTAAAATCAGTCTGTGCACAGGTATCTGGCTACTTTGCAGGAAAATGGCATATCCCTCTGCATATGCTAGTACTACCACATTGAAAATTAGATCAGCATTAGACCATCAAAAAGAGCTTAACTACAAATCTGGCATTTCCTCAACTAACAAGCAC